ATCCGACATGCCGGAGCTATTTTCCTTTCTCGTGCATACTTTAATTTCCGTTGTATATTTACGACGAATTTCTGGCCAAACACAATACCTTAACATTATTTCCATTAAATATAATTGCACTGTAATTGGAAAAAATTGAGGTAAATTTTTTTTGGTAACCGTATTATTAGTATCGTTGACATGCCACGCCTATTTCGATGCCGTTGCGTCGATAAGCAGCCAATCGTGTCAACAATAGACCCTAGATTTTCCCTCGGACTTAAGCTTTCTCTTGGGGTAGCTGTAGAAGTTGACACAAAAGGCTCTAAAACTTTGCTCATTAATTATGGAAGGCAAAAATAAATAAATGACGCCCGGAAAAAAATTGTCCAGAAGTTGGTTCCAGCGCTTCTCGGTTCAATTGGTTATTAGCGATTTCTGTTTCCTTACTTTGTGTATACCAATTTATTAACTTCGGACCTTCAAGTGTTATTTCATCAGCGATACAAATTTACCTTTCAGAGCGGAAAAGAATTTTGAGGGACCCTTAAGAAGTTTACGATGCGCCAAAGGATTCCAATTACGTGACGAAATGTAAATGAAAGGTATTGCAATATTTTTTTTAAATGCTTTAAAATTAAAATCTTAAAGTGCATGTTAACGTTCAGTTTCAATTGACCTCCTTCCCTTGGGAAAGGCTCTACACCAACAGTTGAAGGAGTCGTAGTCATTTATCATTGATAATTTGAACAAGGAAGTGGCAATCCGATTGTCAAAAAACCAATTTAAAGTAAATTAGCCCGGCGCAAAATCCTTGTCATTTCGTGCAGTTGCTCGGCCAAGGATGAGCATAAAGGTGAAGCCAGGAGGGTTGTGTTGGAGCTCGGAAGAACAGGTGCGTGTCCTTAAGGCCAAACAAATGTGGCAGCTCGACTTGGCCGAAACTTTGCACACACATGGCTGCGGTTGCCTTTCATTCGCTATCAGATCACGTACGGCCGCGTAGCTTAGCAGTGGAAAGGGGATCCCTCCGCCCCCTTGCCCCACCCCTGTCCCGTTCCCCATGCTGCAAAAGAAAAAGTCCTGAGGCTGAGGAAAATAGTGCAGACGTTGCCCTTGCGAATTTATTGCACGTGGTAAGTCGGTTAGATGGGTTGGACTGCAGATTAGGCGCCCTGATAGACACAAAATGCTTTTTCCTTGAGTTAAACTTAAGTTTGGACATGGGCAAAAATTTATTGCACGTTAACTGAGAACTGAGGCGTGGACTGAGTAAAAAATAGCTAACGGCTAACGGATTAGGTGCTCTGCCCACACTGATGCGATCTTGTTTTCAGTTAAATTGCTTCACCGAAAGTTGTGGCTGACAAATGACTAAAGGCACTACATTTTAAAAGAACTAATTGGTAGGCTTCAATATGGGAAAAAATGTTTAAAACTGTAGACTTCGGTCATCAAAATTAAAAATAGACACGTCACTTTTTTAAGACATCATTTATGGTTCCTTAATATAAAAATAAAGTTTAAAAAGCTTTAAAGCTTTAGGTTGAGATTTGGTATGATTAGTTATTTTTTCACTTTATTTTAAATAACATAACATACCTTTAATTAAAAGGAAACGCTTCCTTGCATATAATTCCAAGTATTTACTTTTTTTTGATATGCCAATTTTAACATCATTTTAACATACTTTGCCGTCAAAGTTTATTAAAGTTTCTCATCGCCAAGTGCAGAAATTCAAAATTCAAAGACAAACAAAACAATCGTCACAACTGGGAACTGAAGGCCGAAGTTGGCCCCAATCTACACTGATACAAAAAGTTTACAAGTACACCTGAGTGCATATCGATGGGTACATTTTTAACGCCCATACTGTTAGAGTAACATAATTTTGGTTAGGAACTAAGGCTCTGATTTGAGTTAATCTGAATTAAACTTGCAGATGACACTCGACTTTTTATGGTGGATATTTTCTCATACGCAAAAAACCTAGTGAGTCTCGTGGACGGACGGGGAAGCCGAGATTCACTAATCTCAATCTCCTTTATGTTCGACACATATATCTTACTATTATAAAAATTATACAAAACAATGGAAGTAGCTGAATTCGATAAGTCCATGTTTAAGTCTCAAACATAATACACATTTTTGAGCGGTTCTAGTGCTTTGCACACATCTGTAAAGCCACCGCTCTTCTATGTTGAAAGCTGTTCACAAATCCTCAAGGATTTGCCTCACATCGTGTAAAGAAATCTTTTAAACAATTTCATGCTTGACTTCTTTTTTATCCTGTCCAGCTCAAGGGCGGTTACTTAAATTTTCCTACGGTTTAACTTCTTGATGTTCCAAGTCAGATTAACAGAGCTTACCCTAGTTGAACTCGGAGAGATGTCAGATTGTTCGCCATTATCTACTTTCAAACAGCCACAAGCAACACCCATGTGTCCATATAATTTGGGCAAAGCATTTCTGTGTGCGCACCACCCCAAAGGACAAACTGTAATTTTATGCAAAAGAAAACTCTTCATGTCTCACCAACTCAAGATAGTACGCGCCACATTTTCCAACATTTTACAAAGCATTTTAGCCACCAAAATGAGTATAAAAAGTATTCTCATTTACAAAAACGGCATGTATTAAAACTGTTAATACTTGAAAAGCATTTCCCAATAGCATTATTTGTTAAGCGCGAATTTAAAAATTTTTGTCGTTTTGTATATCAAAATCATATCATTTAATTTTATCTAATTGTAAGGGCATTCATTCTACTATTAAATGGTTTAGATCTCTTTGTTTATTACACATATGACTCTTGTTTTTTTGTTTTTAAGTAAAATATTTTAATTATCGAGTCGAAAAAAACTTATATTTATTTTTGAGAAAATGTATAATGTTTGGACAATTTCATCCGATTACCATTGTTATATGCATAAACAGAGGGAAACATGCTCAGAGCGCTTGCAATTAAGCCAAGTTTCAAATACTGCTGCAAGAAGTCCCAGTCTTTTGGGACCCAGACAATTGGGGTTTCGTCGAGCAAGTTTTAGGCAAGAACTGCTTGGAGAGGAACGCGATCCACATGCGGCGTTCATATAACTGCAAGCTGTTAATTAAATTTGGTTTTAAATTCAACTTGTCGCAATATGGCGATGCGGCTGCTGCAGTTGACTTCAGCTTGGCTGGTCGGGCTTGGCTCGGTGTTCATTGAAAAATCCGCAACTAATTAGGACGCATGGCCGAAAGGGAAGCGGGGAGCCTGCACGTATACGACACGGCGACAGGGCTTCGTGCTCGGCTGCTTCTACTGCCGTGGGCGAGATAAGCTACTTAAAGGGGACAGTGATGTGGAGACGGGCTAGTAGCGCAAATAAACAGCCAGACACAAGCACAAATGAACAGAATTCCATTGCATTCATTTTCCCGTGAGGGGAAACCAACAATGCACACCTCTACTTTCAAGTTTCAACCCAAAAAGAATATTTGCTGATATCCGTAACATTTGTTTACAATATTTGTTCAATCACAATCTTGGGAGAGAAGTGAAGATAATATTTTTTCGCAGAGAAAATTAAAGTTAAATGAATTTTAATTTTAAATTAGGAACACTACAGACAAATTCTTAAACGCAAAATCAATTTTTTCATTTGCTTTTTATTGAATTTTTTTGCTTACTTGGGACAGATTTATGTTGACATTTCGAGTCTTTTTTACATGTTAACTATTTTCTTGTGAGATATGGCATTGCGAAATATTAACTTTATTACTGACAATAACTTTCACTCAGCCGCTCAATAATTCAGAGCACCTTGATTGCCGACATTTACCGCTGTCAACGGACTTTACTTAGAAACTGTCACATTGTTTTCACTTATCTGGAAACTGTTTGCAAATGTCTGTTAGTCACCCACATCGGAGACCTGCTAAAACTACTGATTAGTAATTGAATAATAGATGAACATTGTGCACTAAAGAGGAGACGATAAGACGGAGGCTAAGAAGTATTGGTTTGCGAAAATACCTTTTAAAGCACTTAACTAAATTTTCAGTCAGGACCCGCCCAGATTGACCCCTTTGTATATCTCAAAGATACTTGAATAGCGACAGGAAATACCGCACCGTTCAAGGGCTAAGCTAACCATTCAAAAAATGCAGTCGAGCGTTAACTGCTGATGCCCCTGAACTTAATGACATTCACCATTTCGTTCTGTGAATTGCTCTAAATTTACATTTGATGAGATGAAAGTGCGCACAAGGTGCAAAAAATGTATAGTTAAGCAGGTACTTCAGGGCTCAAAGTGATTTAGTCGCAAAGTGAAATCAAATGCAAATTTTATGCAAGCTGATTTGTGTTTGCTGGTGGGTTATTGATCCGGTAAGAATTACAAAAATTCCTAAGCTTTAAAAACTTTTAGTAAACTTTAAAAATATGGTCCTTGCTTTTTATTTAAAAAACGTTTTACTTCACCATAAAAAAATTATCTTTATCTTAAACAAAAAAAATGGGTTAATTATGTATATTTATATATACCTATTATAATAAATATAAATATATTAATAATGAATATTATATTGCCCTCGCCCAAAAGTTTTTAACAATCACGATTTTCACCCCTAAAAAAAATGATTTGCTTGATTTAAGTTATTTTTTTTGCTGCCAGAAATTGCATGTTGGCCATTGTTTTTTTTTTACCAAAAAACTTACAAAAGACGGGATAACAAGATTTTTTTTTTTTTATGTTAGAAGACACACTTATATAATAATGAATTTTGACTTCAATGACATTAAAAACTTAGTCACCAGCAAGTAGTTTTACAGCCGTATTTAAGAATTTTTACTAATTAAACTGACACAAAAGCCGCAAAACAGAGGAAAATTCCCCAGCCTTCACCCCTTTCTATAGAAAATGAGAATTTGTGTACTTGACAACCGGTTGATGTGTGCCTGCAGATTGGATTTTGGGGTCCTCCGCCAACTTTTTCCAACTGTCTCTGGCAGAGTTTTTGCTTTTATTAGCACTCACCTGGGGATATTAAAGATCCAAATGCTTGCCAGACGACTCCAGCCGCGTCTCTTGTAGAAATCCTACGCCCCCGCCCCAGGGATGTCGCTCAACCATATGCAGTGGGGCGACACCTCGTTCCTTGTAGTTCGCTCGCGCCAGCGGCGGTAAGTGTGCTCCGGTTCCGTGTTCCAAAACTTGTGGAAGGACACGGGCGGCTGCAGCTGCAGAAGCTCTCTGGCGTAGTCCTGCGGCCGGGCCTGGTACATGCCGGCAGCCGGTACCGCCGAAACACCCAAGGCGTGCAGGCAGTAGCCCAGGATCATGTCGTCGGGGGCGCTGGCGCTTGGACAACTGCAGCGCTCCACGATGAGCCGCACCAGCGGCAGGCTGAGCAGGATGCCGGCCCCTCCTGTGTGGTAATTGAAACCATCTGGGGCGTGCAGCCGGTAGCCATAGCGCTGGCCCAGATACACGAGCTCCGTGTGGTTGTGGCAACTCAGTAGGGCGCTCACGCGGGGCACGCTGTTTGGAACGGGTATAATCAGATGTGGGAATTACAAGTGCCCGACGAATCGGATATATCAATAAAAATGTTTTTAATTGAATGCGCCATGATGCGTTTGAGCCGGAAAATGAAAATCAGAAAAGAAGTCGGCTTTTGCCAAGCCCAAGTATATGTACCCTTGCCGGATTTACGCAAATATCGGAGAGCAGCAGTTGGGGATTTAACTTTTTCACCGAATCGTTGCTTAAAATCCTTCCTGTGCAATTAAATTAGCAAGCAACATAAACAAAAAATCAAACAGTTTTTGGGAATGTCTGACAAAGATGGCCAAATAAAATACCTCTCAAGTTAAGATTTAAATATGTACCAAGTAAGCGGTTAATCTCAGAAAATATAGTCATAAAATAAAAGTAATAATGCGAAAAAGAACTACCTGACTTAATAGGAAACTTAATGAATTGATCCGATCTTAGATAATCCAGATAAATCCTGGAAAGCACTCACCTCAGCAGCGTATCATCGTCGACCAGCATGAGCCAGCGTATGTCCATTTGTTCACTGATATCCTTGAGGGATAATTGTAAAATTGCCATTGTCTTCGCACAATGTCCAGTCTGCACATTCGGTATCCCAGTGCTGATTGTCGGTATGCCGACGTCTGTTGCGGTTGGGGATGTGGAACGGGAAACAGGAAATCGCAAAGTCAAATCAATGATTATTCAATAAGTAGGAGTACTCCTCCCAAAGCGCCGCTGTGGAGCGGGTAGACGACTGGCAAACACACTTGCCGAAATCCAATGTTTGCCCAGGTACGTATGCATATCTATTAAGTTCACCTCTCATTGTACCTCATACTGTTTTCGCTTTTGTGGTGGTCCATACCCTTGTGTATGGGCTGCCCCCGTTGCCGAACCCTCTTCTGGTTTAATTGCCCGCCCATTGTCATCGGGATGCTTACCTGCCACGTCGCTGTAGTATCTCCTGTTGCGGGCGTCTGTTGCCCAGGTGCGTTCGATGATTGTTATGCGTTCCTTATGGAATTTCGCACAGGTTTTGATTGCGAAATATATGTGCGATCCGGTTGTGTCCAACTGTTCGTGTGAGTGGGGCGGCCAGGAGAGATAGTCAATTTATGGTTATGGAGCTTTCAAATGCTAATTGCTCGGGGTGCTCAATTTTCATGTGGAACCGAATGAATTTTGAATGTGGTAGAACTTCGTGCTTTAAACTTGAAGCACCAGCTAATTTTATTGATTATTATAATACACATTTTTTATGTTTTTGGGAAACTGTTAATTAACAATTAATTAATTAATAAATTAATTATGTAATAAAACTAAAAAGAAAACACACTGCTTATTTAAATTATAAACACTAAATGTTAATGTAAAAATGAATTTCCAAAACAAAGAGGAAAGGAAAATGGCTTAAGACAAAACAAAATTTATTACAGAAGTCGCCCTTTAGCGAACACCTCATCTTTATCAACAGCTCTTTGAATGATGTATTGTTTCGCTACAACAAGGCATAAACTAACTTACACAACCCTCCTTCCGACTCCCAAAAGACGATGACAGGCCCGCAAACGGTTCCTCAGGCTTTGCATGCAGCATACAACGAGGTACTATGCTCGGAGCCTCTGGGATGTGAACGGATTCGGCGGTGGGGCAAATGTAGCTTGCACTTTTCAGAACGATTTTCCTGGACATTCCTGGGTCGACCGACCCGCTGGTCGGGGACACGTTGTCGTATATAAAGCGCGCTAGTTCATGAGACGCGTCGATGGAGAAGTCGCTGTGGAGGCTGCTGTTCTGGGCATTCACAGCAACAAGTTCCGCAAGCCTGAAGGCGAAGACTCATTATTATATGAAACGGAACCTTTTTGTGTTCTGGAGATATTCAAGATTGCGAATTCCAAGAATTCAATACTAGAACTCCTTTTTAATGCGATAAAATGAAGACAGCTATAAAATAAAAATATAAACTGTATACCCGTATGATAAATAGATTGTACATTTTTATTTTTCTTTTCTGAAATTGTTTTCTATCTAACATAAGTCTTTTTTGAGTTTTTACAAATTTTTCTCACATACGTCTCCAGTCAAATCCCTTTACAAAGTAGTAGATCTGGAATTTCATTTTACGCTCGTTATAAAATTCGCTGCAAGGAAGAATGCCTGTAATGGCGAAAACCATATACGTTTTTTGAGTCGGATCATTTTAAAAAGGGAGTGCGCTGGAATTTATAACCGCGATTTTGCACCATAAAAACAATATTATAATGCCTTCTTTCATTAATATGAGTTATACTCATAGTCAAAAATCTGTCACCTGTATATTACTATGTATTTCAAAATACTCTGCTTTATGTTTTAGATAAATTTCTTTCGTGGAAATGGAAAACAATACAAATCGAATATAGCGTAATTCCTAGCTTACGTAAAGGATTGGCTCTTTACGTAAGCTAGGAAGCAATCATACAAACTTCTCGAATAACAACTATTTTTTAATTTTATTTGTGATTCGTAGAAAAAAGGAAATACTGTGTTTGTATATGTTTCTTTCCTTATGAATGTCGATGATCTGAAAGCTCTCTAATACGCCCCCACTTCTGTCGCGCCCACAGTTTGGTGAAACAAAAAGTTGGATGGTACATTTGCACTCTACATTTTAAAACGCGGCGAACTTGTATTACCATTTAACATCCCTTCTAGCATTATGGGCGTGTCCGTCTTTCTGTCTATTTAAACGTCGATATCTGAGAAACTCTAAGATCCGCGCTATTGGGATTTAGCATGCAGATTTAAGAAATGAGCACGTTTCACAATTCCATATATCCCATATTTTCAATGCTAATTCTGTATATACTGCGCGCAATAACTACACAACTTTTTGGAAAGTTTCAGTAAGAAAGCTTTAAACCTGAGAGACTAATTTACATGACAGGAGGACAAACGGACAGACGGGCAGACGTATAGAGGTATTTCAATTCAGATCGTGATGCTGATCAAGAATATATATACTTTATGGGGTCTGAGGTATCTCCTCCACTGCGATGCAGCCTCTGACACCCTCTTCAAGGATATAAAAATAATAACATCATTGTTTTTCACCAGACAAGCATAATTTTTTGGAATATAGAGTTTTATAATGACTCTTGAATTTCGAATTACATTTCAAAAAATTCGGATGACTATATCATATATGTACGTGGCTGTCTTATGAACAATCGTCAAGAATATAGAAACTTCATAAGAACATCGACTTAGCTTCGATGATGTTAAGCCTTTATGTATTTTGTTCGATATATTTAATGACTGCAAGGGTATATAAGCTTCGGCTTGCCAAAGCTAGTTTGTTAGTTGTGTTAGTTTTAAGACTAACCTGCAATAGCTATTCGGCTCCCAATTTTTATTAGCCACACATTTTAAACAAAGCACCCGGTGACTTACCACTAAAATGCCGGATTAAAATTTAAATAAAGTGTGCAGTAAGTTATCAACATTCAAAATGAGACAAACTATGTAAATGAAATCAATCTATGAGCAAAAATGGGATAAAACAAACAAATTTTAAATCTAAATCGATCTTAATACTTAGGCGTTCACTGTTCTGCATTAATTTCTTGCGATTTAGATTCAAGAACATATATGTATGTATAAACTTCTGACTAAAATTATAATTTTTTTTTATTTATTTGTAATTATTTGGACATTTGTGGACTAGAACTTGTTTATATTTTTATAAGAAGGCCTACCTTCGAAGCAGACCACCTGTGAAAATTACACCGGCGCTAAGCATGGGGTAAGGAAACCACTGCGGATCCTTGTAGTTGGAGAAATGGTGTATAATGGTGGCCTCCGAGTCGTATAGGGCGTGGCCGTAAAAGGAGAGCTGAGGGTAGAACAGCGGTACAAGGCACAGCTTTGAGCCGCAGCTGGGAATACTTACCTCCCCCGGGTCCTGATGACGCAGCTGCTCGAGCAGTCCGCGCACCGAGGATACATGTGTGTTGTGCTGACACCAAATAATCCATTCCGTACGCTCATCCAGTAGACGTGATTGGCCTCTTAGATGAGGCAGTGCGTGTAGAAGGGTCCAGTAGTTGAAACGCTCGTGCATCACATGGACTTTTAGGACGTAGTCACTGGGGAAGATCTCAGCCAGTTTAAGTTGCCGATGCTGCTCCCTCACGCTATCGAATAGGGCCAAGCACTCATTTGTGGCTTGGACAGGAAATGGGGGACAAGCGATGACCAGTAGCACCTCCCCCGCCCTTATTATTCCACAGCAGATGCTTAAGGAGCTCAAGAGCACCAACAGAATAGCAGGCATTCTTAATGTCTATTACGGAATACTACGATTTATAAGCGTTTCAATTTTTTTTTTTTCCGAAATACAAGCCCCGAATTAAAACGGACACTAGAACACGACTGCCCTTATGGACGTGCGAAAACGTACTGAACCAACTGTAATTTAATTTTGGCGCAAAGCCGAAACGTTTACTGGCCTGGGGTGTGAAATGTGCTCGGAACTTGACTTGCGTAGTCCAACGCGCAGGCGCATGTAAAGAGGTGCAGATTTTATGAATGAATCACAAGACCGTGCAACAGTTGGTCTCCTCTGCAGCAAGATTTAAGAAGCATGCACGAGTTTCTTTTAGTTGTACCTTAAATAAACAAAATTGCTTCAAAATTACAAAATAAATAAATGTTTGACATTAATTTTACGGATTTCTTCTTGTTGGCCTTGCAATAAACTTTGAAGTTTTTTTGTAAACATATGTATTTAGAAATAAAAAGCAATACGGCGTCACGCCAGTACAATATTTGATTAGGATAATCAAAGGTTTTCTACTTACCTTTTAGCTGTTAAATTATTTGACGTACGTGAAAATCAAAACACCAAAATATATGATTTTCTAATAAGATTGTATACATATCTATTCTATTTTTTGTATATGAAATCGGACCTAAGGTCACATTTACTATATTTTTGCGTAAATGTGAAGGAAAAAAGTATAAAATCCGGTTAGTGCATAGGCGAGGCCAGTCGAGTGGTTGTTTGCATGCTATTGCTGCGGTTGTTGGACTTGAGCCGCAACTCATTGACGAGTTTAAAGAGCTGGTCCTGCTTAGAGAGCAACTCGCGAGTTCGCTGACAGCCATGCTTGGGGACGTTAAGACCTGGATTCCATCGACAATATAGGCCCTTCCACAAGCGAACAGACCGTACGCTGGCGATGGGGCGCAGTACCAGCTCAGCCCCGTGCGTGAATGAGGGAAACAGGGGATTCAAATATTGGTCCAAGGAAGAGTTAATATACGTCCACAAAGATGTTGTTTTGTGTTTAAGATCTGCAAGATATTTCTGGTTCATTTTTTTTTAATTCCAAAAGCAAAAAAATTTACCTTCGGACACACGTTCGGCCTCCGTGTTACAAAGGAAGGTGCCGAATCGGCACGAGTACAAGTGATCCACGACTGTTATTAGAAAGTGCTCGTTGAACTCGAAGGCATTGTTAAATTGCTGGCTGACCTGCCACACACTGTCGATAAATTGTAGAAATACTGGGGATCTGTCCGCGTCAGAGTGCTTGTTGTCACCGTGACCGATGCGCTGCTGAAACTTGTGGCCGAAAGAGAGCCACTCCTTCTCGATAAGTACCTCGAAACCGCGCAAAGTGCGATAGTAGGGATCGAGGAGCAGCATAGAAAGCGCCGTCAGTTGGGCCGTGCGATCCCAGCCGTCGGAGCAGTGTACTACCACGGAAGTACTCATGGTCTCCACCTTGTCCACGATTCTGACTGCTCCAGCTAGGATGCACCGAATGTGCTTTAGCCATAGTGTGTTGTCGATAGCCGTCTGCCACTTTGAGTCGTCGGTAGTGGGAAAACAAGCCTCCTTTACCTTGCGTAGGCTCTCCCGCATTACATGTATATTATGAATGTCAAGGAAGTTGATTTCTACGTTTTTGTAAGCGTCCTCTGACTCGTAGCCACCGCCTTTGGCTTTGTTGGCAATCGCATTGGCGCTGGGCCGCGCGTCCATGATGGTCAATTTATCTGATTGAGCGTTTGCTTCCATAATAAAACTTAAGTAGGCCTCGTCGTCTGAATTTCGTTTGCCACTTACGCCAACCAGAGGCTGGGAACAACGAGTAATAGTCGCTTGGGTCCGGGGATTCATCCAGGACAGCACTGGCAAGCGACAACGCGAGCGAAACTGCGCAACGCGCCTCAGGAAATCATCAGATGCCGCCTTGGGCACAGCCCACACGGCCGGATAGCTGTCGCAAATGGCAAACGACTCATTTAGTTTGGTGGCCCGCCACATATCGTTGGGAACGCCAAGGCGCCGCAACTCCGCCAGCGGTTCATACACTGACCATCCATCCCATCCAACGCTTCCGTTTACTGAGTTGGCCGCTGAATAGGCGAAAGCAAATAGGCGTCCACTGTACGAGAGTGGAAAAGCATTCGTCTGCAGCTTTTCAAACACTGTCCTGCGCGAGTGATTTTGCTGCTTGTGGGCGAAGCGCAGGTTGCGCATGTCCTTGCAGAATATTTCTATGCCGTATGAGTTCTCGCCTCGTGACGTGGCACCACCAATCTTTTCTAAACGCGCTATCACACCCAGGGGCACGTCCACAACCACGGGCGGCTCCTGATCCCGTAGAGGGAGCGACCGAAAGTACAGGCGGTAGTTGGTGATGGTCAGTGCCCCGAACACTGGCCCGCGGTAGGGACACACGTAGGTAACGTCGTTCTTTTGGTCCTGGTCCTCCTCGCCGGCCAAGTAACTAAAGGGCGTGTCCCGCAGAACGCCGTTCTCTCCGCCACCATGCTTAGAGCCCAAGGAACTTGACTTGGAGCTGCTGTCCAGTGAGTTACTGCTTGCCGCCTTGGATGCCAGCTTGTCGGCCTGGCTTGCGGGGAGATCCATTTCGGAATGAACAGAAAAGATATTTGGATATCGTGTTAATAGTTGTACCGCTCAGTTTTTTTATTTGGTGCTAAATGCAATTCACCAAAACTCATGCAATAGTGTTGCCAACTCCCAGGCGCCAAATAATACCAATTTTAACCCATCTGCTAAATTTTCCGTTATGACGTTCCTCTATGCCGCGAAATTTAAATACATTCAAATCAAAACTAAACGTTTTATTATTTAAACCTTTGAAAAATTTGCTATTTTTTTTAATTTTTAAAGATAGTTACTCGTTTGGAAGAAAACATTTATTTATAAAGATTAAACCCTTTTAGCAATTAGAAGTCATATCTTTTCTTAACTTAATCCGCATCGATGGAGTTATGGAAAATATCGTTCCATGTCCTGGGACTATGAAATTGCATATATCTGCCATTTTACTGCGCTCCTGACGTTGAAGCTCCTCATTTTCGCTTCCAGCATCCCTCCAAATGCTATCATCTTCAATGTCTTCCAGACGCTCGAATAAATCTCCGGTGATACCAACCCGCCCCCCCCAACTGTGTGTTGTTCACAATTACGGAAACACAGCTGAGGGTATGTCCTGGCGACCTTCTTACAACCACCTCGGCGTTTGAGTCCAGCGCTAGCTCCTCGTCATTTTGCCCACCTCCAAAGTGACCCATGTAAAGGTCACGATGGGACACACACGCACCGACCAAGTGCATCCGTGCCTCCTGAAACAGGTAGTTGCATCCAATGTGATCAGAGTGTCCGTGGGAGCACACTACTACGTGCACCTCATCAACACCTACACCGTGTTTGGCCAGCAAAGAACGGAGGTGCTCGCCGTCCCAAGCCGTCATGGTGTCTACTAAGATATTGGTGCCATCCCTGCAGCGGACCAACGTACAGGAGCAGTTGGCCCTCATTGCGGTTTCGTCTTCTTCATCTCGGCAGGAGTAACCAGCCTGGAGCACAATCACTTGGTTGTGCGAATCAGAATCGTTGGATCCCATTGTTGTTAGGGAAAAACATCTGATTTTACGCCTTCCGCTTAGTATGACCCTATTTTGTCAGATAACAAACGCGTTTGTGAGAGTTTTACAGTTCGCTTTGTGACTTTTTTCTTCAAAACGAATATTAACAGATATAGTAAATAGTTAGCTCCTAGGAACAGATGTCAATGCAATAGAGTTATGGAAGATATTATACATGATATATTATCCAGTCCCGGCCGTGTGTAATTTTGAAGAAATTTTAACACTTTTCCTTTTTTTAAATTATTATTTCGGTAAAACTGGTTGGTTCCAATTTATAATCAAATTTAAATTTCACCACCTGGTCACACTGAGACCAGCTGTTTGCCGCACATCTCACATGTTTTTACGGAACAATTGTGATATTATTTAACTTTTTTCAATAAAAGGACCAAATAACAATGTACATTAACTGTCTACATCGAGCGCAATGGAAGTACCTCCAATACCTATTGCAAGTGCGTCAGTTTCAGCTTCTAAGAAGGCACATCAATATTGGCGCAAAGCCACCTATACAGGCAGTGACTTCTCTGCGGACGACGGGACACCAGCTTAGTTGTCGTTCCCACGTGATAAACGGAGATCTCCAGGACAGCTTCGCTGGAACGCCGGAAAAGGATCCTTACCTAAGTAGGTTGGAGGAGGCAGAGTCGCTTAACATTCTTTTGGGAGTGTTAGGAAACAGTGAAGGCCTGCATAGCTGCAATGTGGCGGATGTAATCTCCCTTTTGTGGAATCATTATCAAGGTATAGAACAGCCAGGAAAAGATGCGATTACCAAATGCCTGCTCAGAGAAGTGCTACCTATGCTGGGCCCGCAAATAGACCAACTGGGGGTCAACGATCTCAGTCGGTGCTATCTTTATCTGCGTAAAATGCACATACCGAATTCCGAGCCAGTCGTGGAGGCCGTTCTAGTAAGAGCCCTTCAACAGATAGATAACCAATTGCATGGAGCCGTCGTTACTCCTCTGACTGCTTTGTCACGCCTCTCGGTTGGAATAAACTTGGAACGCGACTTCTTTACCCCACTTGTGTGCAGGAACTTTGTGCCGCACTTGGAGAATCACATTAGCCAGTGCCACACTGAGGAGCAGGTGCGGCTGCTGTCCACGTGTCTATTTCAGCTACATTTTTTTATTGGTGAGGAGCTGCTTACAAACTTTAAGCAGCGTGTAATTAAACTACTTCAAGACGGCGTCCTTAGCAGCGCAACACCTAAGGCTCTTCTAAAGGTGCTTCACATGCTAAATATTCCATTGTGGTCACAACATAACACCCAATTGATTCGGAAAGTCATGTTAGCTTTGCGGCCTTGCATTATTCAGATGGAACCCGGAGACTTAAAGAGCCTGTGTCGTGCATTTTTACACCATCAGGAGCCCGCCGCTTTAAAGGAGCCGCTTAAGGAAGCCACGGAAAAACTGCTACAGTCTGAAAGCACTGGCGACGCTCTATCTTGTGCGGTTCCCTTCGCCGTTCCCACACAAAGAGATAAATATCTCCAACTCTTTCGTGAACTGCTTTACTCCAAGGACGGCTGGCTGCTCCCCAATGCAAGCGGACACTTCTTCAGTGTTCTGCGTGCGTTAAAAATCTCCGACCTGGGATTCTGTAACACATACTGGTCGGGGGTTGTACGAGAGCTGGAGTCCTGCCCGGAGGAGCAGACTCACCTGCGGTTTCTAAGGCACTGTCAACGCTACATGAACTTCAATAATAATTTGGGGGGAACGTATCGACACTTCGATCTGGAACGAAAGTTAAGTCGCATGTGTATGAATGCCGTTGAAGAGGACATTGCGGGCAGGCTGCCGACGAAATTCGCACGGCTGGCAGCTTTTGTTTTGGCCTATGGCCAGACTCCATTAGCCTGGAAAAAGTTTCCAAACATTCTGCTGACCAAGATGCTCGCCATGGCTCCCCAGCTTGCCATCCAAGATTGCTTTCTTCTCAGTCGGGGCATGCAGATAGCCTGCGAACTTAGGTTTCGCCAGCACCTTCCCTCACTTATTGGCATGCAGCTGTCCACCATGGACAGCATTCTCATTGGCTGTGCAGAAAGGCATTTATCCAGCGCTGAAAAAGACCCGCTAAATGCCAGTGAACTAAGCATGATTGTTAGAACACTTAGTCATCGCAAAGGTAAGTAAACAAGAACAAGAAAGGAAGCTAGCTTCGACAAGCCGAAGCTAACATACCCTTGCAGTCATCAAATATGTCGAACAAAATACATTAAGGTATTATATTTCTATTAAGTTTCTATATTTTCGACGGTTGTTCATATGGCAGATATATGGTATAATCTTCCGATTTTTATAAAATTTAATTTGAAATTCGAGTCATTAATATTCTATATTATTATGCTTTTCTGATGAAAAACAGCGATGTTATAATTTTTTCCTTTAATTTCCGTTAATCTTATATAGACTTTTCGATCTTTCCTATAGCGGCTATATTTTAAAGTTGCTCGATTTTTGTGAATCTTTTTCTCGCTTCAAGGGTAGTTCAAAAAAAAAACAAAGTTTTCGAATTTCCATAACATTAAGTTTCCGAAAATCTAAAAGTCGAGACTCTGGACTATAAGGTTCTTTCTTCTTTTAACATTTCTTTCACACAGCTTTAAAAAACACGGTGGTTTACAACCAAGCTCTGTCGCAGTATAAAAGTCTTCACTGCAACGATCTCAGCTCCCGAGTGGTTCGGGACATGGCATACAATTTCAACGCTTCCCATTTTTTTGTACCCGAACTTCTAGAGTCGATGTTCGGCTATATTTCCGAACAGCATGAGCACATTACCGGCGATACAGTGGAGAAAGTGTTAACCTGCTCTTACAATTTAGGTTATACGCCTGCCTCGATCGAGGCTTTAAATCATGCTGCTGAAGTATTACTAAGGTGGGCATAAATGAAATTCATAAAGATTTTTCAATTATTAATATATTCTTAAGAGACTTTGATCAGATGAGTGGATTGTCAATAATACAGGCATGCCTAGCGTTGTGCTTCTACAAATCAATACCTGAGCAACTTATCAACCAAGTATTTTGCGTGAAGTTTATACAGCGCATTGAGGATGAAATACAAGTCTGTTACTCAAAAGCGACCTATCCGGATCGTGTCCTAAACCTAGTTATGCAGCTGAATCGATCGGTTTGCTTAGATTTTCCCGAGGCGAATGTGCCCTGGTTTCAGCAGAACTATATCGAGTCTCAGATAAGCAAAAGTAAATAAAGATGCTTTTTCATTTTGTTTTTAAGATTCTTAATTACATGTTATTTAGAGACTGTGCCGCCCAGTGGATCGATGACAGAGGCTAAGCAACTTCTACAAAAACTTCTTCAGAATGAGAATTATTTCCGTTGCAACCACACAACTCCTTACGGCTATCAAATAGACTTTGTGATTCATTTCGATCGGGATAAGAAGCCCATTCCAGCACCTCCTGTCGAGTCTACAATGTTGGATCGAATAACAAAGTCGGTATATGCAATTCATGTAATTTATGCAATTAATTAACTTTATGTACAATTTTCATTTCCAGGGTGGCAATACTGCTGCTAAAACTCGACTCATTTTGCGAAAACGATCTGACCGCCTTGCGTGGCCCCGAATCTTTAAAGATGAGACACCTTGAAATGATGGGCTACAAAGTGATGCAAATCAACGAACATGATTGGAACTCAAAATATATGAACTCGCCCGCAGCCAAGGTCAACTACCTCAAGTGTTTGTTGCAAATATCCCATTAGTTGAGACTACAGCCTGGAATATGTTGCAATCAGCATTACGTGTATATATTTTGTTTTTTAAAAAGATTTGTGTATTTTATAATAGAATGTACATATATATATTATGTGTATGTACATATATAATATATATATATATATATATTATGTGATTGTACATATATATATATATTTTCCTTATTGGTCCGACGTTACACACCATCTGTACGCATTGTTAAACATTATTTGCCAAGGGCTCTCAGCCTCTGTAGGAGAAACTTCGAATGAAGGTGGCACATAGGGCCACTGGTACATAGCGTAGCAACGCTCAGGATGTGGCATTAAGGCCAAATGGCGTCCATCCGTCGAACAAACGCCGGCAACCCCTTGAGGACTTCCGTTTGGATTAAGAGGATAGAGTTCCGTGGGCTCGCCTGCATCATCAACATATTGCATTGTCACCAGCTCGTCCGAGTGTAGTTGTTTTAAGAGTTTTGCATCCCGGAATTCAAAGCGACCTTCCCCGTGAGCCACCCAACAGCCTAACACCAGATTCTGCATGCTTGCAAGCATGATAGAACGATTGACTGGAATTCGCACGGTGGACCAACGGCACTCAAATCGTTGCGATAGGTTATGGACAAGAGCTACATCGGGTTCTACGCCTACTTCGCAGCCCGGCCTTCCGACAAATCCAATAAGAGTCATTAATTGGCATCCATTGCAAATGCCCAAGGAGAACACATCTTGCCGGCGCTTGAAGGCTTCAAACTGAGGAAGCAGGCGGGGGTTATGGAGAATGTTGGCTGCCCAACCCTTAGCTGATCCTAAAGTGTCCGCGTAGCTGAATCCGCCGGGAAATATAAGACCCCGGTACTCCGATATCCTCGTGGTTCCTAAATTTATAAATAATTATTAATATTATAAATCGGATATATTTTTGGGCTTACCTTGTAAAAGATCCGACATGGTCACATCGTGCACCTCAAAGTTTGCCTTAAGCAGACAAGCCATCATCTCACGTTCACTGTTGACGCCCTCCTCCCGGAGCACGGCTACCCGAACTGGGACATTGGACCGCTTCAGAATAAGCTCGGACTGCAGATTGCAAGGACCCCGGTACTGCGGAGCTCTGCGGTATTCAAGGCTATCGTATTCTGCTTTGACGCACTCTGGGTTGGCCTGAAGCTTTTCTAGCTCGTAACTGGTGCGTTCCCACTGTTGGTACAACAGGCGGAGGGGCTGATCCAGCAGCACTGACACTCCCTGTTTGACGACCACTCTGGAATCAAGTCCAAAACCGTCGGTCATGCCCAAATAGAAGTTTGGTACTCCGGCATCACCGTAAATAGATCGAACTCGCTCCAAATCAGTCTCCAATATTTCCACTACCCATCCGCACTCCTCCGCAAAGAGAAGAGCCAGCTCGGGACGATTAATTTTCGCGGAAGCCGCATCGTAGTTCTTTAGCGTGGCCAATGGTTCGGAGAGGTCAAGCCTGAGGCCACTCAACCCGCCAATGGCCATCTCAACAAGGCAAACGAGCAAGCCACCGTCGCTGACATCGTGCCCTGCCCTAAGAAGACCTTCTCCCAACATCGACTGGGTAACTGCAAATGCCTTGCTTAGCAGGTCACTTCTGGTCAAGCTTGGCACCTCTATGCCCTGCTGGGCGTAGACCTGAGCTAAAGCTGATCCACCGAGGCGAAGGCTGTTTTCTAAATTTATCCAAAGCAAAACGGTCTTTAAGCCCGAGCCGGGACCCTTTAAGTCGGGTGTAACTCTAAGCCGCACATCTGGACAGGGAGCGTAAGTGGAGATGACAAGGGTTCCCGGGGACTTAATTGTCTCGCCTCCCACCTTGGCAGCCATAGAGAGAGAGTCTTTTCCCCCGTCGATGGCAATATGGAGCTCCTCAAGTATCTGACATAGTTCCTTGCAGGCATCAAACATCTTGGCTCCCTCCCCGGGTAGTTTTGCCGCCCACATCCAGTTGCCCGAACATTTAACGTCCTTCAGTTCGCTTATCTTTACAAAGACGAGGTTGGTAAGCGCTTCAGCCACACACATTCTAGCCATTGCGGCCGGATCAAGCAAACCTTTAAGAGGCTGCGTACCAATTGAGGTGGCGATTCCAGCGTTCGTGAAATGGGAGACGGTGGTTAGGGCGTAATCTGATAGAGGAGCTTGAAGGGGACCTACGCATTGTTGCTGCGCGATCAACCCTCCAACACAGCGATCTACCTTGTTTGTCAGGAAGCGTTTGCTGCCTACTGCAACCAAACTTAGAACTCTTTCCAGAGCTTCATTAACGAGCAAGTCTTTCGGCAGACAAAGCTCCTTTAGAGGCGTATGCTCGCGGCTTAGTTGGAACGTTCTCTTTGGCATGTCGCCCAAGACGTGCTTAAGCTCCAAGTCGAACGGTGAAGGCTTGCTGCGATTAAACTCGTTCAAAGCCTGTTTTAAATCTTTCGGAGCAGCCTCCTCTAACAGCGTCACTCGACCGTCACCGGTCACCACTCCCACAAAGCTAATAGGACATCGTTCACGCCGACAGATCTTTTCCAGCAGATCCCGGTGTTCCGCCTTACAGAGAATGGCGTTGTTCTCCTGGTACTCGGCGCCCCACAACTCCAAGGCCGTGATTGTTGGATCGCCTAGGTTAAACTCTTTGGAAAATATAACAGCCCCAGCAAAGCCTGGCTCGACAAGTTCTTTGAGCACGTTACCATTTCCACCAGCGCCCTGATCGTGAATAGCGAGGATAGGATTTTGCTCGCCCAATTCTAGGCAAGCGCGCACAACGCGATTTAATTTGTTCTCCATTTCAGCGTCTCCCCGCTGAACGGCGTTGAAGTCTAGTTCAGCGTCTCCGGATCCCTGTATCTCTACGGAGCTTGCAGCGCCGCCACCAACCCCTATCCTGTACACTGGTCCTCCAATTTTGGCCAGCAACTGACCACGAGCTGGCGGTAGCTTCTCCCGCATCAATGCGGGCATGGTACCAAGACCGCCGCTGAACATAATCGGCTTGACATACTCATCCCGCTGGCTGGCGTCAGCCGCACTGTTTAGGCCATAAGAAAGGGCGAAACCGGAGATTAATGGTTCTCCAAACTTGTTTCCGTAGTCCGAGGCGCCATTGCTCGCTTCTATTAGAACCTGAAGTGGAGGCGCAAACGTCACTGGATATTTAAAATCCGCAGACTCGTATGGTTGTTTGTAACCTAGGCGGATTTAAGAGAATCTTTTAAATTTCATAAATAAACGTACTGACGACGCTCCGGAAGAACGTGAATAGGTATCAACTACATAACAAGAAAATCGCCAACTAAAAAGTGTTTTACAATACGTTAAGAAAATCACTTGGTTCTGTAGATAAGGTGGTTAGAAAGTAATAATAAAGAAAATGATGATTATATGTATATCCTTGCAGGCAGGCACGTATCCAGGGAGGGTGCCCGGGGGCCCGACCCCCCCCGAAATCTTTGAATTCAAAAATTTAATTTAAGATTTTTCATTAAAAAGTCTTTAGTAGAAGAAACCTAACCTAACAGGAATAATAAAAGATCAAACGTCACGTACTGATTAAAGATTGATGTGTGATTTGCCTTTTTCTGAATTTATTCGAATAAGTCCACATTTTTTATTGATTTTTGTCCTTGAGCCCCCCCGAAACAAATTTCTGGATACGGGCCTGCTTGCAGGTAAAGGTTTTAAGTGTACTGTATAGTATACTCTTACAAGATGAGTTAAAACAGAATTTATATCAATATTCCCACGATTTGTATACCCTAGAAAGGGTATTATAATTATAGCCAGAAGTTTGCAAAGCATTTTTATAAAAACTTATATCTCAGTTTGAATTTTACAGTCAGGCAGACATAGATGGACTCGACTGGTGACCCTGATCAAGGGTGTATATATTTTATGAGATCGCAGTAGTTTCGTTCTAATTGTTTCATAATTTTTAACAAATAAAGTCAACGATCTACTCTGCGAGCAACGGTAAGAAATAACCGATATCCTTAAATTGTATAAAGCAAGGTATTTTCCAGATTATGGCAAAAAAAATCGAATAATCACAAAAGAAATAAGCAATGCTAGTGGTGTTATTTATGCTTTTCTTACCTGGAATGTTAAGAGCTCCTACACAATAACCAGCGGTGCCTGCGATTGGAACGCCACCTCTGCCGACACCCTGAACATCACGCAGACGTCCTCCCGTTCCGGTTGTGGCTCCGCTGAACGGCGCTACAGCGGTGGGCATATTGTGAGTCTCCGCCGTAAAAATCAGGTCAGACTGCACGGTCTTTAGACACACAGGCCCAGGATCCACTACGGAAGATGGTACTATAACCTGGTGCTCGAATCCCACAATTGCGCTGCTATTATCACTGAACTTAATGGTGTTGTTGGGGTTTGTATGAGCCTGCGTGTCCATTATCATTCGGATCAAAGACTTGGGCTGCTCCACTCCATCGATCACTATCCGCCCGCGGAAGAACCAGTGACGCGAGTGTTCGCTATTGCTTTGAGCACAGTCGAACAGCTCTACTGTGGTGGGATTTCGGACCAATTCCTTGCAGAACAAATCGTGGTAGTAGTCCAGATCAAAGTCGTTGAAGGCTAGGCCCAGCTCTTGATTGATTTGCTCTAAAGCTTTACGACCTTCCTCCAAAACGGGAATGAAATGCCATTTGGTCTGACGCTCTGGAAGCTGCTCATCAAAGCTGTCCTTGGGAATGTTCTCTTTGGTATAAAGGCACTGCGTCATGCGGTCGCCCAGCAGAGGAACAAACGTGGACGACTTACGCTCCTCGGAGCCCTCCTTAAAGGTTAGCAGGTACCGAGTGGAGACTTCGACACGCTGGACCTCGGAGTATCCAAGGTTGTGGAAGATGTTTACGCAGTTCGTAGAGTATGGCGTTGAAAAGTTGAAGCGCGGTCCAATCTCAAGAAGCAACTGCAATTGGCTTTCCGGCTGAAGAACGGACTGCTTGGCCAGGCTTTGGCCACTCCTCAAGGGTTGCTTTACGAGCCAAACCAGTAACTCTTCCAGGGACAGCGAGTGCTCTGCCTGCCCGTTGTACTCGAGATGATAACAGCGCTCCATCCGCACAGATACCACGCCGGAATCCTCCTCCTGCAGTCGTCGCAAGACCTTCAACTCTTCGGCCACAGAGTGCGCCTGAGCATCGTAGCAGCGGATTATTACCATGTCGATTGGCTGCAAAAAAACGAAATGCGGATTCAGAGAAGTGCGAACTTCTTGCTCGTCGAATCGAAAATGAGCTCGGGAAGCCGTTGACAACCAGTAGGCTGAGCCCACGCTGAGGGTTATCAACTGAATCCACCTAGACCACAGCCGCCGATCAGGTTACATCGATGAACCGAATCACATGCAGCAATCGCTGCACGGCCGTCACAACTTGTTATTGTTTTTTGCTAGCTGAGAATCTGCTGATAAGTTAGTGTAAACATATTTTCCGTCACAAACAGGGGCTTGATTGATTTAATAAAGCAGCATTTAGGAAAACAACTAACTAACTAAAGAGAGCACACGTGCGTTGAAGCTGAGAACTACGATCGTTTTGAGGCTTCAGCTTTGATTGCCTCCTATGCTACGCTTTATTTTCACCACTCTATGCCGACCTCGCCAGTGTTGGGCAACAGCGGGCACCGTTTATTTAAATTTACCCGATCGACGTTAAAACGTACATATTTATACATAAAAAATATAATAAAAAATAAAGAAGTTTTTGTGAGAACATAGCTTTTAAGAACTAAGGTCTAAAAAGGTTTTATTTTCTTAAGTCGGACAAAAATTAGCTGTACCGTGTTGATATTTTGAATTTTCAAATATTTTTTTACAATAAGTATATATGTATATAAAATAAGAACACCTATAGAATAAGGTTTTTTCAGTTTTATTTATATACACAAGGACTTGAAATTCATTAAACAGTACAATTTGGCGGTAAAGCGATCAAATAAAATAACAAAATTTAGTTTAAAACTTGTAGGCAAATATAATTGCTTTTCTGTTTCTGTGGCGGTATGCAAAACGTACATTGCCCATGTACCTTATCAATATTGATTTGTCGCTATAAATTTGGCCAGGTCTAAGGGCCATTTATATCGGCCAACAGCCGACAGACTTGGTTGATAACCGAGTCATTCAAAAGATTTTTGGTAATAAATATATTTAAGGCTTGAGAAAACAACTAATTGTTGAGCCAAGCGTTGTTGGTTATCTATCTTGCCATCGGTTTATTGTTGTACTAAAACGGCGACCTAGCGCCAACTTAAATAATTCATTACTAATCAGCCCGCTCGCGACCTTCCACTGTCGCCTTGCCGCCGCTGCATATGCATCTACGTAATGTGCATTGCCTTCGCCGCCTTGGCGGCCTGCACGCTAATCTCGTCCATGCTTTTGCGGGCGCTTTCCGTGACCTCGTGTATCAGCTCGTCCGTGCCGCGAGCGATTCCCTTGACCTCTGTATTGATCAGCCCGATCACCCACTCCAGACCCTGGCGACCCTTGCTTGCGTTTGTGCTGATAGTCGAGGTGAGTAGGTCCTCCATGTAATGAGACAGCGGGACGCCAAACACCGTGACGGTGGCTTCTTGTTTGAGCAGCGTCTTGCTGGCGTCCGCCGGATGCGGCTCGTAGTAGAGCACTTCATCGACGCTGATGTTGCGGCAGAATGTGAGGTTGTTTGTCTTTAACACCATCTGCTTGCGCTCCGGGTCCACCGTGGAGCGCTCGCTAGCGAAGCACGTCTTTGCCGTGCCTATCAGCGCGTGTGTCCACTTGGGAAAGTACCACTTGGACTGCACCAGCCTGTGCGTGTGCAGCACGCCGTCCACCACTCGGCGCTCGACTACGTCCGTGCCAATGATGGAGGGCGTCATCGGGTTAGGATACTTGCGCCACGCCGCCTGCGTGACCGTCTCCCAAGGATGGTTAAAAATGTGCTCTGACGTCCAGATTTTCATTATGCAAGCGCCGTTGTCGTCACCGTCGGAAGGAAGGTGTGTATCCTGAACTGACAACTGAGCTGTGGGCTGAGCTGAGCCTGCAGGGGCAGACGAAACGGGAAAAAGCGTTAGGAACGGTTCACGGCTTAAATTTTGACAGAAAAATCGGAATAATTTTATATTTTGGACACAAGTTACGAGAGCTGACCTTTACTCGTGTTCAGTGTGACCGTGGAAGAGAAGAAAAATTGAACTAAATATACCATATTGATAACTACTATTTAGTATATTTAATAGTATTTTAAATGGTTCTTACACAAGTATTGTTTATCCACTCATATGAAACTTTAGGAAAGTAACTATTATTAAATGAATTCTTTAATTCGAGAAAAAAAAAATACCTCGAAAGAAACAAACCGTGTTTGTTTTTCCAGTATTGAGCTTGATTAACTTTATTTTTACAACTTTTGGATACTTTGATGGCCCTGAAAATTGCCTATTAGTCACCAGAATGTTTTAAAAATACTGAGTTTAGAATCTTTTTATATTTGCTACAGAATTACGACTTATAAGCAGGCGAAATTGAATTATTAATGCATCATCTCTTTGAACAGTCCACCAAAAATATAGAAGACTAATTTTACTAAAACTCCCCCCAAAACACTTTTCGGCTTCTAAAGAAGACAGGCGTGGTCAAACTGTCGATAACCATTTTATTCATGTTTATAAACAACTTAACGGCCAATTCTTAATTATACTTGTTTCAAATTATTGTGTTGTACCGAGATAGGTTCTACTCCGCGCCAAAGGTCCGTACGTACTTTTCATAGGGCCGCTTGTCCAGTCGCTGCAGGCGCGATTGCAGGAACTCGCGAAACTTTCTCATTTCGGCGGCATCTTCCTTGATAAGTCGTCTCTCCTCGTCTACGACCTCGCCTAACAGCTCCTCACTGTGCCCTGCTGCTCGTCGCACCACCGACCGCTGCAGACGGGCACTTATTTGGTTTACAATCTTGTCGCTCTCATAGTCTAGGATTTTGGCCAGTGCTTTGGCCGGAGTGCGTCGCGGATTGTGTGAATCAAGGGTAAGAGCGTTGCTGGGGCCGGCGACCGGATCCGCATCCTTCTGAGAAGTTTGACCAGGAGGAAAACCATCCGCGGATTCGGCCTGCTCGATAAATTCGGTCAGCGAGGGCTCGTCGGGATGCGACTCGCTGAGCGTCGTGTTATTTTGGAAATTTGTAAGGTGAAATATGCCATTAGTGTCGTAGAACTTGTAGCCCAGCATCTCCAGGGCTATTTCCGTAAGTAAGTACGACATTTGACCAGACTTTAATTTGCGAGTCACAGTACGGGAGAATCGTAGTTTTACTGCCAGCAACTGATAATCAAACGGCCGGTGTGGCAACACTGGAAATCAGCTGTTTGGGAAGCGTCATTGTTTCTCGCTTACATTCTTACTTGCTTAAAAAATAAACGAAATAAGCAAACGAAGCGTTTAATTTCACTGAATGCGCCTAAGATCGCTCTGGTCATGAAAATCAACGAAAAAAACCTATACGTCTTTGCGAGAACGCCGCCCTTTGACATTGAAGGTATACGAAGAAACCCATTTTTCCCATTTTAATCAAAAATTTAATCAGTAAATTATAAATACACCTTGCAGGTTTCCTAAATAAACGCGGCGAAGTCAACAAGGCCTTCCAACGACGATATTTTGTGCTAAAGGGCAACTTGCTTTTCTACTTTGAATCGAGGGTGGACAAGGAGCCACTCGGTCTAATCATTGTAGAGGGTTGCACCATCGAATTGTCCAACGAGGTGGACAACTTCTGCTTCGAGATCGCCTTCAACGGCAACCGCACCTATGTCCTTTCCGCCGACAACCAGGAGAGCATGGAAAGCTGGATGAAGGCGCTTACCTGCGCAGGCTACGAGTACAAGAGAATCATCCTAACCGAGCTACAGCGGCAACTGCAGGAGATTGAGGACTCAAGAAACAGTGAGCTAGCCCTGTCTGACATTAAGATTTACGTACCCTAATATGGTGTATTTTTTATATGCAGAAATGCTTAGTAATGCTGACGGACCGCAAATTTCCTCGGAAGGACCTAAGCCCAGGCCTCCGCCTAGGCGGACAAATCCTTTCAACAGACCAGCCCCTCCTCCACCGGACAGTTCGCTGAGGGGCGGGGTGGTAATGTCGCCAATGCCTTTTATCAATGGGTATTTTGGCTCCAGCAATGCGCGCCTACAACAGGAAAAGCTTATGGGTAAGAATGTTATAAGCGTCACCGCCAGCTGTTTTTAATTGGGTGGGCGATATGGGTGAACCGTTTGTCAGAGCCTAAGATAAGGGCTGCGTTGTCCAAGATCAATCCAAGCCCAGATCAACTGTTCATTGACTGATCGCAGCTTATTAAGCTTAGCCAGCTGCTGTGAAAAAAATGACTTTTCGCGACACTCTGAGCAAAATATGTTGCTTATTTCCAAAAACAGACTACAAACCCTTTTCAATTTTAGATGCTAACGGTAACGGAAGTCCGAGTGGAACGCCTAAAGCACATCGCCGCCCCACACCAGGGACTTCTGTCGCCACCAGCGTTTTTTATCCTGATGCACGAGATCCGGGTGCGGCTAGCAACATCCACCACAAAACCAACGCCGAGCGACAACGACGAAAGGTCAAGGCGCTAGAAGATTTCACCCGCAACCACGAGCGTTTTAGGCAGGAACTGATGCCAGATGTGTCTGCCTATCGCGAGCGCCAAGGACAGCCACTCATACAGTTGTGATGTAGGAGTGTTCTGTGCCAAGTTATTGTATTAACCGTTTTGTGAAACATCAAAAAACCCTTTTAATTAATTATGCCTACCTTAAATATATTTGTTTGTTTAATAAACGAAAAGTACGTTTATATAATATAAAAGTCTTAATTTTGACATAATTAGTTTAAGGAAACTCGCGGTCAAGAAAAATATACAAATTTGAGAAAAAAAACAAAGCGTAATAATTTTTTTCTAGGATTTTTTTCAATGTCTCCCGATGTAGTCGTCCGATCTGGCCCGCCCCAACTTATATTTTGGTAAAATTTAATTAAGATAGCTTTAAAACTAAAAGACTTATTGTTTTCTAACAGATCGATTAAGATGGTTGTTGGGTCAATGAGCTTTTTTATTAACAATTACCTATGGTGGTGCCCAAATAAAATAAACCCGCACAAATTTCCCTTAAATATGCACTTATTTATTTTAATGGCACCAAGGCCTTAATATACCAAGTAAATGTTTGTTCGAGGGTTGATTAGGCAGGCAGACCGATTTGTCTGTGCCTTTTTTACAGCGAAAGTATGTTGGGCAAGCAGACCGATTTGTCTGTGCCTTTTTAGTCGCGAAAGTAAATAAGCCGAAAGGTATAGGCAGGCGATCAGCGACCGTGCCTTCTGCAAGCGAGTACCAAATCGAACTAATATAGAAGCTGCTTGAAGTGGATAAAGGCCAGGCAGCGATAAGTAAAAGTACAAAAGGAAGTTAGCAATTTCAATATAGGTATGACAGTGTTGCCGCGCAGGGCAAATAGCAAAACAAAGGCAAACATCGTGAATTTAGTTTACGTTACGATTTGAATTTAATCA